AATGTTGTTTAATACTGTTTATTATAAACAGAGCATTTACTTAAATATTTTTATCTATAAAAAGAATATATATATATGTTTATTTTGATAGAGCAAATAAAAATATTTCTATACAAAAGTAAACACAGAAAAAAGACAATTAAGTTCTTAAAAATATGGTACATATTATACCTATCTTGTGTAATTTACTCATGTGGATATTTTAAGTTTTATTTCATATTACAATAAGTTTTTAAGAATCTACTCTATTGTTAAAAGCTTACTGTAAGTCCTGTAATATTAATACTACACAATGTATAATGAAGCCAGCACCAGTAGAACAGCCTCTCATTTCTCAAATGTTATGTCATTGAAATTTCAAGCTGACTAGTTTGTGGGGAACTACATTTATTGTTAATGTCAGCTCATAAGTCACTGTGAAACACAGACTAGATATTGTATGATTAATGCATCTAGCTGAAGTTAATATGAAAATTTTGTTTAATCAAGGTTGCTATCGTAGGGATCTTTATGGAAGACAAGGTATTTCTTCCAGATTTTCTGTTGTCCCCTGATGATTGGTTAATAATTGTGTGTACATTTTCATTGCAGAACAATATGCTTAAAGTTGTACTGAATGAGTGTGGGAATTCTGTGTACCAAGAGTAAAACTGTCTTTCGCTCAGTTTTGTAATTAGTGTTTCAGTAAAGAAATTATCACAAGATTAATAAGAGATTTTTATAACATTAATAAAATTGTACAAATTAAACTTGATTTCATAAATTAGAAACATATATGGTTAGTAGTATTTTCTTCCATTCACTAAGTTGTGAATCTGATGGTGGAAACTGGAAGCATTAAACTAAATGTCATTTGTCTGTTTCTTCAACTGATTCAGAATATATGATTTTACATTACCTGCAGTGTGCAATTAGGCAATTGCATTTCTGTCTTGTGTTTAATCATTTTTCTTTCTTAATTAAACGCTTCCACTGTGTTCATTTCTAGGTAAGGTCTACTAAAGAGGTTATTAGAGTCTTGCATGTGCACTGATCCTTTCAATCACCTTATCTTGCAGTATTATTTGTTCTGGCTTCATTCCACAGTGCTCTGACCCATACTTTTTCTCTCCACACATGATTAGCCATGCCTGACTTCATTGTCTCCTGAAAGGTTAGAATTTTCTGGTGTTCTTCCAGCCTTACTTTTAAGGAGTAGCTGGCTTCAACTTTGTATTCTGGGTCACAAGTATATGGAATTTTTGTTCATGTTCTCTTCTGAGGAAGGCTTAGTGTAGTAGAGATATTTCCAAGAGGTATAATTGCTTTTGAATACTGTTCTAATGCTGTATGGGACCAGAGAGCTAAATCTTTTCTGACATGCTTTTGATATAAAGTAGACTATGATAGTTTCCTGACTGTTGTTTTTCATTATGTCACTACTCATGTAAACCAAATTACAAATTTGGATTTCACATGGTTCCACCATACAAGTGCATCTTCAGCATGAGATCAAAGTATGAAGATGTCATTTACTTGTCTCGGACACATTATTGGTTTCAGTAGTGTCATTTTCAAAGCCATTTCCTTTAAACACACATATATTTTAAGACATTTTTATGTTTATACATTCTTTTTATAAAATAATTCTGTCTTAAAATAATTGTCAGACTTTGTCCATTTCATAATGTGTGACACACACACACACACACACACACACACATATATATATATATATATATATATATATATGTGTGTGTGTGCTTGTGATCACAGGGAGAAAAAGTTGACCCTATAATCAATCATTTATTCTACTGATGTGTAGAAATGTTTCTTCAACATAGAACATGAGAATTTTCATAAATACTAGAATGTTTCCTAATAAATATGTTCAAGTTAAGTTTATCTTGAACCATAGAATATCATCTGTAGGAACCCTTGTGAGCAAGCTGACAATATCTCAACTCAGCATTCAATTAGAATGAAAGAGAGTATCTTTGTTTTCACAAAATGGTCAAAGTACTTTACATATGATGTAAACTTAATTGGTTGACAATATCTACAAGGAATCTGCTCAATTGATGACTATCAACCTTAGTGGAATACTGTCTTTGTGGATACAGGTGACCATATATATGAATGGCTGACTATAACATTGAGTTAATTATCTGAAGTCATTCAATGCGATATAATCCCTATTTTTATTCAGAATCTGTGGCAGTCTTATTTCAGATTTCAAGGTTGTTTCCTTTAGCTTGTTCTAAATACCATTCCCAATTAGACTTGTTAATTTTTCTAAGTATTCCAGTTTCTTCCATTGTTGTCTTTATCTGCTGACAATATGATAATACTGTTATCACTCTGAAGGGTTTTGAGAGCCAATTTTTCATATCCTACATTTGGTCTGGAATTTCCTGATGGCTACTATGACAAATACCCAAGAAATGCCAATGGCTACAACATCTGAAACATTATGACCATAACAAGCAAGATGAAGACACTAGTCAGATATATTTAACACACCAAGGCTGGATGTGGCACAAGAGCATTTTAGAGTGGGAAGTGGCATACATCTATGCATGCATATGGGCCAAGGACAAAAATTGTGGTTTTGTCCAGCCCCTGCAACTGCTGTCAAACTGGCATTGGTATTACACTGACCACACCTCTCTTACTGCAATGAGGAAGATTCTAATGCAAGGTTGGAATCCCTGGGGCTGAGCAACTTCTCCCATCTCAAATGAGGAGAAACATAGCTCCACTTACTGCACAGGAGCAATAACCATACCCCATTAAACCCCCAGTGGCTATTGGTTAAAATCAGTGTATAATTCTATAGACAAATTACCATTTATACTGATAGTGTTTTGTAAAATACAAATGTTATAAGTTTTAAAGAATGGATGAGTAATGTTAAAAGATGTTTACAAACATTCCAGTTTACTTATTTTGGTGTTTAACTTCAAGAATACATTTTATTTAGTGGGAAAATCAATGAAGTTTGTCAAATAAAATCTATGTGTACTTATAACAAGAAACTGCATTCCACATTGACAAGGCAGGCACATCACCATTTGAAGCTAGCAAGCCTCGTATTAAAGCATCATGTTAATGTTAGTTTCTTTAATATATATATATCTCATAGTAATGTAAATACTTCAGGGTTTTTTTTCACCGATAATTCTTTTAAGGTGTTTGTTTCTCAGGAACACAAGTTCAACTTCTGCTGAATGGCACATTTTTTTAATAAGACTTTTGATTACACAGGCCAGTAGATAAATTTCACTTTTTTTTTATTATTCCAGGGATGACTACTCTAAAACTCTGCCGACTAAATTTAACGTTTATAGTAATAATATCACACATGCACACACACCAATAAGTTTTAGGTGTATTTTTCTTTTTGTGATATTATACTGTATTAAGGATTTTTATAACTAGTAAATATATTTTTGAAATACAGTTTTAAAAAAGAATACTTTATGGGTCCAAGAGACAATCAAAAACAAATTTTATGAAAATGTAATAATTTAATTACCCTCCCCCCAAAAAAGACACTGAACTTCATTGTCGCTGTAGAAGGTACTTTGAAGCAAGAATGGAATGTTACATTTAAATTCTGTGAAAAAGGTTCTAGTTACTGTCATGAAATTAAAAAAAAAACTTAAAATCTAAGAAAAAGGTACTTTTTAGTTGGAGTTTTTAAACGAAACAAACTAAAAAAGAATTAAGATTTTTAAGTAATACTTTCTAAGATGTTTCATTTTATGCATTTGATTTGACTTTTATTTTTCTTCTTTTTTTTTTAAAAAAAAAGGTAATTTTTTTTTTTATTCATTCTCTCTAAGATTCTGCTTTGTGCCTTAATGTATCCAACGTCCTGAGTGAATATTCAATATCTACAAATTTATGTATTTTTTATTTGTGTATATAGCTAGCTAGCACGCAATATTTAACAAGCATAAAAGGATATCTCATGGTTTTTCTTTTTTTTTTATTCCACTTTTTTTTTCCAATTCTCATCCTGTTTTTTTAGTATTGAAAATATGGTTCTAAGTGGCATGTGGTGTGCATTTAATGTGTGCTTTCTGTAGTTCATTCAGTAAATGTTGAAATGAATTTTAAACTTTATATAAAAAGTCGTCGTTCAATTTAATTTAAACAGATCCCATAGTTAGAGAATGGTTAGTACTATATTATTTATGTGTACTTTGAGCATGTTCCCACTCCACATGGACACACCTCCTAAAATAAAATGTAAGAGAAATAAAAATTCCAGGTACGAATTTTGTCATGTCGTTCGTTGACTAGTTAAAAAAAAAAAAAATCCAAGCAAAACAAAATCTGTTGTCCAGTTTGTCGCCTTTCTGTCTCTTTCTCTCTCACTTCTTCATCATCATCCTCTTTGTTTTCTTTTACTACTTTGTTTTCCATGTATTTACCACAGTCGTCTATTTATGGCCATGGGGTCACGTGGAGAAGAGAGATGACAGAGTAAAAAGTGACACACACTTTAAACAATCGAAAAAGGACATCGCTATGTCAGTTTTTCACCCTGTCGCTGCTGCTGCTGCTACTGCTACTGAAAGCATTTTTACTCCTTATTATTTATTTATTTTACTTACCTGCTTGGTATGTGGGACTGCGAGGAAATTATCATCACCTGCCAGTCTTTTCCACCCACCTGTTTGTAGTAAACAGGTACACATGTCCAGACTGGCTTCTTACCAATGTGGGTCCTCTGCTAATTATTACGAACAAGAAAACAAAAAGTGGGGGTGATTTTTGTCGGTTCCAATTCAGCAGAATTTAACTACAATTGCAATATACATGAACTCGTATACGTTAATGTTGTATTGTATAAAACTACGAGTTTTGCTGTCAAACAAAGTTTTCCCCAATAATAGGCAGTTTAGTGTTTTGGGGGAACACCAGTTACATACCCTTACGTTGACTTATTGACAGTATTTCCTCCATACACACGAACACATATTCTTTCTTTCTTTCTTTGGGTTTCCTCTATGTGGAAGGATCGGGGCCGCTCGTGGTCCCGCAGCCTCAATGATTTGCAGGCAAAAAATATTAATTTGTGGAATGATTTTACTGATTCAGAGGTGGGTACCTTTTTACGTGTTTATTCTCTTCTTAAGGTTCGTCTGTCGTTTCTTTTCTTTTCGCTTTCATTTTTTTTTGCAGCTTAAAACCCAAAAATATTAGCGATTCAAGAAGTTTAACTGAGTAATGAAAAAATTAGAATTAATTAGAAAAACTTCTGTCCTAGTTTTTATATTTGTAATTGGATTCGATAATCAAGTCATTTTTTTGTTATGCACGAATTTTAGATTTTTGTGTACATTATAGTCCTCTTACTTATGGTTAATATGGATTAATAAAAAAAATTGACTACTAAACACAAATACTTTTTTAAAAAGTACGCCTTTTTGTTAATTTCGTACAGTGTTTTGCTTTTTTATTTCTGTTTTAGATTTGTCAATTTTACCAATATTTTTGGTGTGTTATTTTGAGTGATTTTTATTGTTGTTTATAAGACAAAATGCGCACAATTAGAGTGGTAAATTAAAATCGCTCAGTTGAAATTTATGACAGTACATACCTGTAATTCCAGGTCAAGTTTCGCGGCGGGCCATTCAAGCAATCACCGCAGGGCTTGTGTGCGTGTGTGCGTCACTTGCCCAAAGATAGTTTTACTTTTTTAAATGTACACACCTTTTTAAATTTTTATTTACTTATTTTGTCATAATCGGACCATTTGCTTACTATGGTAACTTTTTTTCTTTTTTTTACTTTACATGCATCATAAATTAAGAGAAACAATGGTTCTTTTAATTAATTTTTTACAACAGTTTTAGATTTATTTTCTAGTTTCCATCGCCGTGAACTAAGAAAAAAGTTGTAGTACCTGAAAGAACAAAAATGACAGTTTAACTTCATCATGCTGATTCCTTGATTTGGAGTGGTAGAAAAACTAAGAAATCTTTGTTAAACCGTATACTCTTTCCCAAATACTTGCAATTATTCTGTTTGATTAATTTAAATAAAAAACTAAAAAAAAAAACAAACTAACCTCTTTACTTTATCATACCATCCTTCCACTCAAAAAAAAAAAAAAAAAATTCTTGCCAAACAGTTAAAAAACAGTAAATAAATGCATTTTTCTGAACTTACACATCGACCTGTTTTTTTTATTTGTATAACATTATTTTATAAGAAATATTTCACACTTCATCTTATTTTCACCCACTAGTTTTCTAAAAAAAAAAAAAAAAAAATTTTTTTTACTCTTCTTAATTAATTAATTGTTCGTCACTAATATTCTTTTTTTTTGTCTTTTCAATTCTTTCAGTTTCATTTGATAATCAGAAGCGCATTCTGCAGTTTTTTTTATTTATTGTCTTTACTTTCTAATTTAAAATCGTATATATTTGAAACTCTGGGGATTGATCCGTAAACTTTAAGAAGGTGGATGTTTCAAATGTTCAGACATTCCCCGCAAATCTCTTCGTTTCTAACCGTTGATCCTCAGTGATGAACCTGTTGCGTGTTTGAAATCCTTTGCCGCCTCCCCCCCCTCTCTCTCTCTCTTGTTTATCACATTCTTTCGTCATTGTTACTGATAGTTTTTTTAAAAACAAATTCATATACTGGTGAAGAAAGTTAAAAAAAAAAATATGCAAAAAATATTGTATTGAAATAGTTCTTTTTTTAAAATAGTTTTTCTTTTTAATAATGAAATCAGTTCTCTAATTTAAAAAAAAAACAACATTTTTATTGTTTTATTTTGATATGTAATTTAATTTAAAACTGAACACGAGTTAGTATGGTTCTTTGTTCAGTTCGTACGCTTTAATGGCAATTTTACAGATGTTGACAAAATTTATAGACGTTTGAATGTCCAAATTGTCCAGTCCAGTCATTTGCGATTACTGTTAATTAACAACTGGTCACCATCGGGCTCGTTGAACTTCACTAGTCTGGCCGCTGGCGTGATTTAAATTCACAACTGAACCATTATATTTGCGATACCTTTTAAAATTATTAATTAATAATATCCAATCCATTATTTGACTATGTATATTCGGATGTGCAATTGAATTATTGATTATTCAAATCAATTTATCGACGAATAATTGCATATGCATTTAAAAATACTTCTGTTAATGAATTTACCATGTGGCGAATTAAATGTGATTTTTCGAATAATGTTCGATTCAATAGAAACAATTACATATTCACATAAAATTTCTATCAAGGCTAAAAGCTTAGACAAACAAAATAAAACGGGAAAGAAATATGGACAGTAATCTTAGGAAAAGATAAGTGTCCACAATATTTCAGATGTAGTGTTTAAAGTAAACTTTATTGTTTATTATTCTTACTCAAAACACATTTCAATCAAGTGTAGATTTTCACTTAAAAAATGTTCGTCTCTAAAACACGAGTGTGATCATCTTTAAGCATACAGCGAATTCTTAGTTTTATGATGTGATTATTCAGTTCCAATGTTTTGTTGTAGATAACGAGGGGCAGACATCGTCGGTGTTGTTGTAATTATTTAAAAATTATAAATTGCTTACTAAAGATACCCCTCTTTGAAATTTTCTTGATGTTTATTTTCTGATTATAGATTTCGTGTAAACTTACTTCATTCAAATCTTTTTATTTTTTTTATTTTTCTTTGGTCAATATGGTCAAGAAAAGTCTTTAGCCTATTTTGTGAACCTTTCAACGAACACCTTTTTTAGCGGATCATAAATGGAAGAACGTAGTGTTGCGCGCCATGCGCTAAATTTGATTATTTTAACTAACATTCTAATTCTCTTTTATAAGAGCATTAGCATTGAAGCTTCTAAATGACACTGGGAATGGTGGAAAGGAAAATCAAAGCAGCACGACCTGTTCTTGGCACGAGCTAACAACCACACTGATTCGGGGGTAGCCAGCTTCTTGAAAGCGGCTTGGGTAACGGCTTGAAGAAGATTTTTGTCTAGTTTTCTTCTGGTTCATTTGCCGGGAACCGTACACACCATTAATCTCAGTGCCTCCACCACAACCTCATTATGGAATTCATATTAAGAAATAAAGAAAAAATCGCTTCCAAGAATATACAAAACGAAAGATCAACTACTATCAGATAGAAATTTTTTCCTATTTTTCCACATGTGCCATTTTTACTGGTGCCTTTAAAAATACCTAAATTCGTGGCTAAGACCAACAAGTCCTAGAGGGCCAACGCTGAGAAGCTCAAGGTAGTGGAGCTTATTATCTGATGCGTGATGCATGGGAACATCGGATATATGTCCTACGTAATGAGGAGAGGGCAGTTAATATCCGATAAGACATGGGATAATAACTATTACAATGATCCGATCGGAACGCTTGCTGAACCGGCGTGGTCAAGTTCTTTCTTTTCTGATGACTGCTAGACCAGGATCAGAAAGGTGAACATGATAAACAACAGGTAGCTCTGCGCCGACACTACGGTGATACGCGCATCTTCTGTGATGCTGCTCTTCGAGGTTGTAAGTAACGAGGGCCATGTTATGCTGCCCACTTCCAAGTCAATATTAGCGCCACCATACATCAAGGTGCTGGATATGTTGATCAAGCGGAGGCCGTACATGTCTCTGAAGCTCACTAATGTGGCCTCCTAGTCTCTTGATTTGAATCTCAAGAAGAGACTTGAAGCAACAGAAATGTGGTTCTACAGAAGGATACCGAGTGTATCGTGAAGCAAACATGTAACTACGAAGTTTTTGGAGAAAATGGAAACAAAAATGAAACTAATACTTAACACCAGGAAGAAACAGTTGAAGTTTCTAGGGCATATAATGAGGAAAGAGGGCTTGGAAAATGTGATACTCACGGAGTAGAGGGCAAGAGGGACAGAGGAAGGCAACGCATAACATACTTAATTTAATGAATGACTAATGAGCTTGAGTAAATGGATGACGGACAGGGATTAGGAGAAATAACAAAGAGTTTATTAAGATAAGAGCTACAAGGGACAGGAAGTTGTGAAGAGCCATGATCGCCTATGTTCTAAGGGACACATAAAGGAGGATGACTATGTGTATCGGCGAGAGGAAAAGCCAATATGCGATACCGCAAACAAAAACATGGGCTCATTGAAGGCCGCCATCGTGGACCTGATGACGAACAAGACCGACTTTGATCCGAGCACGTTTCCGAAATTGTGCCGAGACCGTCTTCTTGAAGGAAGACAGTTTATTTTATTTATTTATTTTAATAACTAAATTGAACATATAAAAAAATATATCGATTTTTTTATCTGTTGAATAACGTTATTTTTAGTGGGTACATCTGTTTGAGATGCTACCCCTGTTTTTAGTTTTCTTAAACAGTGAAATTAAATAATAACCTGGTGAGATCGAGAAGTCCAAAGTTCTCCATTACCTGGTAGAATGAATCGTACCTTTTTGTTTGCCTCTTGCTTATTTCCTCACTGTCAAAAGTAATTTCTTGCCCTATTCCACATCCACCATCCAGTAATAGTTCTGTAGTAATTTGTCAATAAGTAAAAAAAAAAAAAAAAATATTACTTAGTAAAGTTTTTTTTTTAAATTACAATTACATGTTTTTTAAAAAAATCTATTTTTTTCTTTACAAACGCAAAATATATTACTGATTTTTTTTTTTTGGTAATACTTTATAATTTTTTGCAAATTTAACAAGTAAAATCAAAAAATTAATTTCTATTCTCGACAGATTTCAAATAACGGAAAATAAATAAAATGTGGATCGTCTAAGTAACATTGCTGTGTTATCTGAAACTTTAGTCAGTCATTCAATACCAGAATGTTTTTAAAATATGCATTGAATTGTTTCAGTAAGGATCATTTCTTAAGTTGTATCTTATGGATTTTTCAAGTCCTTTTTATAATAATGTTAATGGCATAAAAAAAAGTTATAACTCAAAATCGTAAAAGTAGGACAGGTTCATGTGACTGTGCATTCCATTATGTGACCGAGTTTGACGTTTTTATTTTTTGTTTGAATTGACATTATTTTTAGTTTGTCCTCTTTTCTTACCTTGAAATAAAAAATATATTTTTTCAAATTTCAATCAAAAGCT